CTTCCTCCTCAGCCTTTCAAGTAGCCAGCACTATAGGCACGTTCTACCACGCCCGGCTAATTTTGATTTATTGTAGAGACGAACTCTCACCATGTTGCCCAGGCTGGTCTCATACCCTCAAGCTCAGGCATTCCTCTCGCCTTGGCCTTCCAAAGTGCTGGGATTATAGGCTTGAGCCACCACACCTGGCCAATTTTTTTTTTTTTTTTTTTTGATTTGTAGTCTCACTCTGTTGCCCAGACTGGAGTGCAAGTGGCACGCTTCCAGCCACCGCAGCCTCGACCTGCTGGGCTCCGGCGATCCTTCCACCTCAGCCTTCCAAGTAGCTGGAACTACAGGTGTGCGCTACCACACTTGGCTGATTTTTTAATTTTTATTGTAGAGATGAGGTCTCGCTAAGTTGCCCAGGCGGGTCTCGAACCCGCGGGCTCAGGCAGTTCACTCACCTCAGCCTCCCAAGGTGCGGGATTATAGGCTGAGCCACCAAGCCTGGCTCAATTTTTTTTATTTTTAAAAATTTTTTGTAGAGAGGAGGTCTTGCTATGTTGCCTAGTCTGGTCTCCTGGTCTCCTGTCTCGGCCACTTAAAATGCTAAGATTATAGGCATGACCACTGTGTCAACCACTCAAAACTTTTAGATATAGATATGTGTTTATTCTTTTTATTAACTCATTAAATAATCCAGTGATGGATTTTAACAGCTGCCCTAATTTTAAATATTGATGAGCATAAATAATACTTTGTTACCTGCAACGAGTAATTTGATGAAACTATCTTATTTCTTTTGGCTGCAGAATCACAGGTGCTGCCAGTACTACTGTGTGTCCTGTGTATTCTCATAATTAAAGAAAATTTTAATGTTCAGTTAGAGATTAGTGAAAGTAAAGAGGCAATTTTTTTCCCATCTAAGTGAATGAATTTCCTGAATTTTGTGAGCCCATGATCCTGCAACTGAAACTTGGTTCACATTTGAGGACACCAGTTCCTGATACTCAAGAGGTGGAATTTTCTCTCCTAGGCCTTGTTTCCTTTGGGCCTGGAAGTGGATTATCTTTCTTTGCCCGTTTTGTTACTTCCACATCACTCTTCCTCCCACTTTCCTTAGCATCAGACAAAAAACATTTTAAACCTCATGTCATCAGAAAATACCTCTTTGCAGCTTTCCATGGAACCTTGGCTTGACTTACTCCCTGCCTTATTCCATGATTTTATCTTCTGTGACTCTTTCTCTCCTTTACTTTATTTGGATTTTGATGTTCTATCTCAACATCCAGGGTAGGCGATTCTTCCACTACTACTTTCTTGGCCTCTTAGTTTTTTGACCTCCAATGTTTTCCATCCTATCTCAGTCTATCAACCTGCCCCTCTACCCCGTCATACTCCAGGTCTGTTATACCTTGTATAATAATAATGATAAATAGTGATTATAGGCCGGGCTCGATGGCTCAACCTGTAATCCCAGCACTTTGGGAGGCCGAGGCTGTGTGTTTGACACCAGCCTGCGCAACTTGGTTATCTCTACAATAAATCAAAAATTAGTTGGGCGTGGTAGCAGGTGCCTGTAGTTCCAGCTACTTGGAAGACTGAGGCGGAAGGATTGCCGGAGCCCAGCAGGTGGACTCTTGGGTGACTGTGAGTGTGCCCACTGGTACTCCAGTCTGGGTGACAGAGTGAGACTCCAACTCAAATGTTAATTATATTCACATTGTTGTACAACAGACTTCTAGAACTTTTTTCTTTTTCTGTAGTTATACACTTGTTTTTTAAACTTTTTAATTGACAAATAATAATTGTACGTATTCATGGAGTACGTAGTGATTTTAGATACATGTAATGTATAATGATCATGTTAGGTTAAGTAGCATATCCATCATCTTATACATTTATTTCTTGTGTCTGAAATGTTCAGTATCCATATAGCTGCTTGAAATTGTATATTATTGTTGGTTGTAGTTATCCAGTAGTGGTATAGAATACTAGAGCTTATTTTAAGATTTTTTTTTTTTGAGTTGGAGTCTCACTCTTGTCTCCCAGCCTGTAGTACAATGGCATGCTCACGGCCACTTCAGCCTCGACCTGCTGGGCTCAGACAGTACTTCTGCCTCAGCCTTCCAAGTAGCTGGAACTATAGATGCATGCCACCACGCCCAGCTAGTTTTTGTGATTTATTGTAGAGATGAAATCTCACCAAGTTGCCCAGACTGGTCTTGATTCCGTGGGCTCAGGCAATCCTCTTGCCTCGGCCTCCCAAAGTACTGGGATTATAGGCTGAGCCATTAAGCCCGGCCTACTTTTTTTTATTTTTTTAATAATGGTCATTTTATCTGGTGTGAAGTGATACCTCATTGCAGTTTTGATGTGCATTTCTTTGTTAATTAGTGATGTTGAGTGATTTTCTTATTTTTGTTGACCATTTGTATACCTTTGGAGAAGTGTCTATTCAAGCCCATTTTAAAATTAGGTTATTTGGAGTGTTTTTTTTTTTTTTTTTGAGTTGGAGTCTCACTTCATCACCCAGGCTGGAGTGCAGCGGTACACTCACAGCCAACCCAGCATCGATATGCTAGGCTCCGGCAATCTTTCTGCCTCAGCCTTCCAAGTAGCCAGAACTATAGGCACGTGCTACCATGCCCCAGTAATTTTTGATATATTGTAGAGATGAGGTCTCACCAAGTTGTCCGGGCTGGTCTCGAACTCGCGGGCTCAGGTAATCCACTTGCCTCGGCTTGAAGTTTTTTACTGTTACTGAGTAGTAGGAAGCCGGGCTCGGTGGCTCAGCCTGTAATCCCGTGTCTTTGGGAGGCTGAGGTGAGTGGATTGCCTGAGCCTGTGGGCTCGAGACCCGCCTGGGCA